AATCGACGAAAATGGTGACTTATTCAACCTCGGATGCAGCCTCACATTTTAGTCGTAAAACGCGGTTAGTTGGTCAGCTGCTTGGCGTGCCGCATTGTCGTGACAGCAGCTCAGCCGACCACGCGTTTTTATCGATTTTTTGATGTCAGTCATCGATCGATGCGCTCGCGTTCAGGCCAAAGTACAATCACACACGCGCACGTGCCAACACGCTTAAACCCGGTCCGTTTTGAATTGGCGCGTTAATCACCAAACGTGTTCTCAACTGCTCTGGTCTTCTTGCTAGTTCGAAGGCATTGCGTGGAAGCGTAAGAACCACGCCTAAGTGTGAATCTCACTCGACGAGAGTGGACACACAAAATTCGAAGGCGTCTTCATGTTGAAGATCATCCAATTCATCTTCTCAACGCACGTTCAGAGCTACTGGAAGCCTGAAGCATTCGGTGTCGCTAATTTCGCCTCATCAATGGGTCGGCTTCAGCACAAGGTCATTGTCGAAATCGGTAAAACTTTGGCTTAATTGTTAAATTTGATTTAACCAGGTTCACAGAGGCCGTCATGTCATCGAAAAACATGCACAATTAAAACAAAAACAGACCGCTTAAAAGGGAACATATACACTAGATTTTTATATTTCGAAATAGGGCACTATTGCCTCTCCTAATCACCATTAATAAAACGCGCCCCACGCAGACATCCAACAGCTGGTTTTGACTGGTCCCAATCGCCTCCCCCTCTCAATTCGGAAGTGGCACTCGCATTAGCGCACAGCAGGGGGTGTAGTGAAGAGACACAAATTTGCGGGTACCATGTAACCGATAAACGGACCAATCAGCGCTTAACGGCTTTTGTGTGGTCACTTTTTGCATCTTATTCGCGCTGTTTTTAAATTCAAAGCTCTTCAGCTGCAATGCAACGCGTTGATTAAGCTGGTGCAGCACTTGCTAACGCCTTAATCGGTTTCTTGATGTCCAAAATGTTTTATTAGTTAGGTGAAAAGAGCAGTAGCCGAAATACTCATCGTGGCCCTACAATTAAACAATAGGCGTTATTTCGCACAAACTTTTACTCAAGCTAATGTTTTGTGTGTTCCTAGGCGATGGTTGCACTGCAGACGCCATTGGCTGAATTGAGCCCTCATTGATTGGTTGGCTCTCTCAGTCTGCTGCGATTGGCCGCTTAAAATCTTGATTTAAAAACTGCGGTATTATTGGCTACGAGATTGATGTGGGAATTTGGTGAGTCAAAACCAATATTTTTGGCAATCGATTCAATTTCTCAGCCTAGGGAACCGGCATTTCGAATGATTTCAGCCTAAATTTTGTCATCAGGGGGGCAGACAACGTAAAAGCAGCCATAAATTGACCAAATACCAATTGGATTCGCAGAGGCTTTGTTAAATCTGCTTTCATGTACACCCTTGACAGAACCAGTGACCAAGGGATTGTCTTGTAGATGAATCTGCATTTGATCCAAGTTGAATCAAAATTTATTTGTTTCGGCATTAAAAGATTACTTCATTGCTAGAGATTCGGCCCAAAATAACTTCATTGCAAGGGTTTCGGATCAGTAAATAAAAATTTTGTCCTAAATCGGGGTTCATTTGCATCGGAATGCTTACTTGGATTTCTATTTTCACGTCTTCGCTAAGAAAGCAGAGTAGTTCACAAAACCAACTTACAATAAACTGACTACTTTTAAAATTGAGTAGTTAATACTTATAAACACATTTAATTGTGATTAAGTGTCCGTTGAGTTAATCATCAGTGCTTCAACTATACGATTGTAATGTAAGTCACTTTAGCGCATTAAACGACAGTGACGACGGAATGCGATTGGTTTATTCAGGAAGCCAACTGTGTAGTAGGATCCCTAGGTGACGTTAAGTCGTGAAAAATCGGAGGCATCAATTCAGATTCCGAGTTTTCGTTAAGTCATGTAAATACATAAAGTCAGTTTACGGTCGATGACTTAATGATGCAAAAGAAAATTGTTAAAAACAAGTTTTTATTCGCCTGCTGTTAATTAAGCCAGATGCGGTGTGCACAAAAATCAATTTTGGCGCCATCAACTCGGGACCAATGAAAAGCGTCCGCTAGAAGCTTAAACACATCGATCACCAGCGGGATGAGGACGTGCAGATATTACCGCAGAAAATCCAGATTTGAATACCTCCTACTCCCTGGATGATAATTTTGCTGAATCAAACACCACTGAACATTGATGTGTGGATAATTGAACGGCAGAATTTCAATTTGCTAAGGCGATAGTGGAGTTTGCCAAACCAGGCGTGTCTGGGAGTGCGAAAAAACCCCTACCAGTTTCCGCTGAGTTTTACTTGGCAGATGAAGATTAGTCGGAGTTGCTCGTTTTTGTAGTTTGGCTACTACCAGCAGTTGCTAAACCTCATTCACTTTTAATTGCATGTTGAGTCAACGCCCAGCGACTAAGCAACCTATTTTTGTGGTTGCAGAAGCGAGTAGTGTTTGCGCGACAGATCAACGCATGCCAGAGTCGAAGTAGTAGGTGCAGAAACAAGTATTTCGTGAATCCAGAGCTGATCTGCTAGCGTTAGGGTCATAAACTACGCGCATCGCTTGATTTGATAAATCAATAGGTTTTTGTGCGTGTGTGCGTGTGCGTTGAAGTGAACATCACTCACGTTTGACTAGTAATTCGCGCGCTTTTACTTACATTTTATCGATTTTTTGCCCGTTTTTTCGATTTACGCTCACGTGACACAATTTCGCTAAGTGGGCGCCACTTCAGCCTTCCAAAATCGTCTCGAAGCGTCTTCATAACCGCCTTCAATAGAAACAGTTTGTGTCGTGCGGTTGAAAGGTGGTGCTGGTTACGAATCTTCTCAGCTAGCCGAAATACAGAAGGTCGCTTGTCAAGCAACACAAAAGGTTGCTCAACTTACGAAATGAGTTTAAAATAGAAATAGGTTCGCGATATTTTGTGGTTTTCAAAGGATTGCACGCAATGTTCCACATGACCGAACGACAAGTCGATGGCGCTGCATTTTGTGAGAATTCAAACAAGGAAGAAACGCTGCTTCTAAAGCAGTGGGGAATCAATTTGTAGCGTTCTTGGTGCTGCCGAAGTTGTGTCTCGTAAAACGTGTGATTGCTGGTACCAAAATTGTAGAAGTGGTGATTTCGACCTTAGCTTCAAGCCCCGCCTCGGACAGCAGCCTCGAAAATTTGAAAGATGCGGAATTATGCAAGTTCTACTGGATGAAGACTCAACGCAGACGCAACAAGAGCTTGCAACAGCCCAGTTAGGAGTCATCCAAACAGCTATCTCCAAGTGGTTCAACGATCAAACTGGAAAAATTAAAAACTTAGAAGTCAGATCCTCCGATTTATGTTGAACGAACATAATCTGGTTGAACGTATGAACACATAGCTTTTACTGCATGCCCGCCAGCAACAAGCAGTGAACGGGCTTCTTGTGGGAAATCGTGACACGTGATGATAAGTATGTTGTTTACGAGAATCGCAAACGTAAAACGTAGACTCCGGGCAACCAGGTAGTACATCGTCGCCACAACAGGACACATGCTTGAAGAAGGTTCTCCTGTGTGGTTGGCGGGACTTGACGGGTGTACTTCATTACGACCTCCTGGAAACTGGTCTGCCGGTGGCTGCGGAACGCTACAGCCGACAGTTGAACAAACTGAAAAAGTAACTTTAGCGAAAAAGACGCAACTCAGAAGACCCTCTTGAACTTGGCACGGGAATATTCACCAGACTTGGCCCCACCCCTTCCAACCACCATTCGTTCCGGTCGA